GGGCCCATTGCTCCATGTGGTAATTAAATGGTAAGAATGGGGCAGGAGAGATGGTTCAGTTGGTAAAATCCTTGCCTTGTAAACGTGAGGACCAAGTGAGGTCCCTGGCAGATGTGTAAAGATGGTGGAGGTGAGATGCGTGTTTGTAACCCCGGGGCTGGGCTTGTAGAGACAGGAGAAGTCCCAGGACTTGCTGGCCAACCTGTCTCATTTAATCAGTGAGATCCAGACCACTGAGAGACCCTGCCTTCAAAGAAGGTGGACGGAGCCGGGCGGTGGTGGTGCACACCTTTAATCCCAGCATTCGGGAGGCAGAGGCAGGTAGATCTCTGTGAGTTTGAGGCCAGCCTGGTCTACAGAGCTAGTTCCAGGACACAGGGCAGACTCCAAAGTTACAGAGAAACCCTATCTGGGGAAGAAAAAAAAAAGGTGGACGGCAGACGGCATTCCTGGGATGACACCCAAGGGTGTTCTCCAACCTCCACATACATGCAAACATGCGCACACACACACATCCGTGCACATATATACACAGGAATGCACACATACACACTAAAATAAAATAGATAAATAACACAATTCATACTATGTGCTTTGTACAGTGCCTGGGTCCTGGCAAGGTGGGAGCAAAGGCCGTATAAAAGTAAGAGTCTCTAAGGGACGGGGACAGGCGTGCTCTTCCCAAACCTTCCCAGCCTCCAGTGCAGTGGGAAACCACTGATAGATCTGGCCAAGGCAGAAACTCTTCAGTGATGAAGACTCTGAGTCACTAAGCTCCATTTCCAGCCGTTCCTGCAGGGTTGCTTTAGGGAGCTGTGTAACCCATAAGGCCAGGTAATGATGCGTGTCACTATCTCTCAGCATCTGTCCTAAAGCACAAACAAAAAATACCTTACCAGGGGAAATCCTTCTGAATGTGGAGGTGAAAGGGCCTGAGGTTTACAGAAAAGCAATTTTCCACTTCGAATCTTTAAAAACATTTAACTTAATTTGGATGCAATTAAACATTTAGACTAGAAGTTTCGAATCCGCTGTGGTTTCCAGGCTCTCTGGTGCCACAGAACTCTCAAGTCACTCTAGGGGACTAAGACTGCTTGTTCCTGTGACTAGGGGAGGAGAATTCTACCTGGGTGGTGGCACGAATGCATTTAATCCCTGCATTCAGGGAGGCAGAGGCAGGTGGATCTCTGTGAGTTCAAGGCCAGCCTGGTCTACATAAGCACATTATTTCAGACTAGCCTAGGCTAAATAATGAGACCTTGTCTCCAAAAAGAAGGGGGCAGGTATCCTGGGCTGTTATATGGAGAACAGGAAAGACGGCAGAGGTCTGTTGTCCAATGATAGGAAGCAATGTTTCTAACTGGAACTATGTATGTGGCCGGAGGCTTCCTGTAATCATTAATAAATTAAGGCTCCACTGTAGGAGCCTATGTCTTTTTCCCGAATGATGTCTCCCTCTGACACCATCGGGAGCTTGCTTGGGAGCTGAGGCTGGCAGCTTGGTACCCAGCATCCTCTGGGTCTCGCTCGGGAAGAGCTTTAAAACAGAGCCACCTTTCCTCATTCATCCGTCTCTAACAGTTGATCCATGATACCAGCTGGCCACCTTGCTTGCTCAGTGGATTCCACCCCTGACTTCTCTGAGCATCACCATATGCCGAGACCCTTGTATTTCCCTGTGGTTGACACACCCAGCATCTCCCCTTCCACCTTGTTCAAAACCATCAGTTGCCGCCAGGACATTCCTAAGCCTGCTCCAGGCACTGAAAGTCATTTAATGTATATTTATTACAAGTCTCCGGGGTTATAGAGATGATTATAAAAACCCCTACCCTGCCCTCAAGAATCATGGGGGATTAGGAGGGTGGAGTGAGAAGCAAGCCCTCAGACCACTGCAGAACAGCAGAATGCCACCAGAGGTATGGTCAGGATGCCCTGACCAGCTAACTCACCGCTTTACAGCATATTCTTGGGTTTCTAACCACACCAGGAAGTCCCAGTGATATCCAGGTATATTCAGTGCTCTAGTAAATACCTGTTAGACTGGAGCCAAGTCAATATTTTGACTGTTGAGAACAACAACAACAACAAAAAACCAACATGGTTTCAAATAAAACTAGGTCAGAGCCCATGGGACCTGCTCATGGTTTAGACGTGGTTGGAGACAGAAGGATGAGGTCAGCGGTAGTGTGTGGGTTTCTGAGTTGGGTAGCTGGCTGGATAGTGGTCTAGAGAGGCTCATATTTGGTAGGGAGTAACAGGAAGCATCCTGGGAGAAGGCATAGCTGAGACACCAGCCAGGTCTAGCAGGCATCTACTGCTGAAGGTGGGAAGCGTCCATCTTGGCACTGTTGAGCCTTCAGGTGGAAGATTTGCCCGTGCACAGAGTCCATAGTGAAAATGAAGGAGCACGCCGACCCCCTCTAACTCGTGGGCGGGGGAAGGGAAGAAGGGGTGCCGTGAGCGCACAGTTGGGGTAATGGAGTAGATAGAGGCTCCAGGCCCCTTCGTGGGCCCTGGATACCATGCTTTTCGGGTTCAGAGAGGGGCCTGGGACCTTCAGATCCAGCAGCCATCGTGAACTCAGCATCTGCGGAAGACGTGAGAAACAGACCATGGCAAACGGCTTGGTGCGCCTAAAGTTTCAGTCACACTTGTCCGTCAAGGCGGTTTCCAGCAAGAGACATCTCTAAGGGAACCGGCTTCCAGGCCAGGCTTTAGGGTAGCCAGGTGCCAAGTCCCACCCTGAAAGCGCTGACTTCCCAGAGGCCTCCTGGAACCCACAAGACTCATTGGGTCATCCTTGGCTGTCTGTCCTTCTACTGTTAAGAGAACCCCGCATCTTGGCTTGACAGATTTAAAGATTTCTGAGCTAAAATTAAAAGGCCGACCCTGTGGAAATGGGCCACATGGCATAAAACCTTCTTCTCTAGAGGCTTCTTTCTAGATACGAATGGCTCCTCTTCACATTGCATGTGGCTTTTGACGAGAGCCATTTCCCTGCAGCTTAGAGGTTTCATCTCTACGCAGACCCTGCAGAACCGGGTGCACTCCTGAAGGCAGATGCTGGCCCCACATGTGTCTATCTGATCCTGGCTTCTGCTCTCACTCCCGTTTTCTACACTCAGCTGTCAAGCAGAAAGGGTGTTGTTTGAAATAATAGTTTTATAGTCTTGGGGAAAGTCTGGCCCGTTCGGGTATGTTTGCCCTCCTTTTGCGTTCTTCACCATGCAGACCTGCCATTGTATAGACGGCAGATTGATGACTTGAAGAGATGGTGTTTGCTTGTTTAATTTTTGAGTGCCTTGTTTTGAGGATCACAGAAAAATTGAAAGGAAAACACAGGAGTTCCCATGTACCCGCCACCCTCTAGGCACAGCCTTCTCTCATCCACATGCCTACCAGAGTAAGCATGTGTGTTAGGACTGATGCCCCATGTTGACATACTGTCAGAGATCATGGTTCACATTCGAGATTAGAGGCCCTATAGTCTTGAACAAATAGCCAATGATATAATAGGTATCTGTTGTCACCTGGCAGGTTTTCATGGCCCTGAAGATTTCCGCACTCTGCCTGTCTTGCCCACCTTCCCTTAGCCAGAGTGAGGCGGTTCTCATGAAGGTGTCAGCTGACCGCGTGTGCTAGTGAGGAACTCCCAGGGCCACACCAGTGTAATCGCTCTCCTCATGTATCTCTATCTTATGGGCCATTTGCTCTGTCACCAGGCCACTGAGCTCTGAAATTTGCCCTGCTACTCCCTCTTCAAAGTGACTCCCTCTTGCTCATGCTGCTTGCAGGCCAGTGTTCCCTGCATTTCCTAGACTGCCACCCTCACCCAGGTCCTTGTGCCTTTTCAGCCAATGGCACGGAGGGGGCTGGATCCACGACTAATGGCCCATGGAACTTAACACCTTGGCCACCTCTGTCACATTTTATTTAAAAACTCACACTCGACAATACCTTCTCTTTATGTTTTCTGAAGCCTATACAGAGAGATGAAATATGGAAATTAGGTAGGCAGGAAGCTGAGGAAAGAGCCCTCATGAGGGGCTCAGTCGAGAGCTGAACATCCCCCAGCTCACAGCAGGCAGTCTGACGTGAGTGGATTCTTAGGATGACACGGAACAGCCAGTCTGCATATAAGATCAGCTAACGAGTAGGAGAAAGCTCTTTGCTGTCTCTGCGAGAGGAAGAACAGATCGAAATGGTGCAGACGTTGTGTGGAGTTCCCAAAAGGGGAAGTCATAGGCTTGTGCTTAGGCACTGGGGAGTAATGGCTTCCAGTGCCCAAACCTAGCTTGCTGCCATTGTGAAGGACCACAGGCAGCAAACATACTAGGAGATGAAGGACGTCCGAAGGCCTGGCCTCAGGGCTAATCACTCTGATGCTGACCTGGCTGCCCCTGCACAGTCTCCCCTCTCTTCGCGCCTCGTTTTGTATGTCTTTGAGAAAGAATAGTGACATCATTTTCCTGATAGGAATAAATTAGTGTGTGTGATGAGTTTATGTTAAGTGTTTATAACCGAGATGGAAGAGCCAAGGATTGTCCCTCTGTCCTGCCCTAGACCCACTATGGCTCTCTCTAGAACCGCTCACTGTATCCGGAGGCCACCCAGTGACGCACCCAGCCCCAACCCAGCCCAGTCCTTGTCATCCGATGATGTTGGCACCATTTAAGGGAAAATTGTTCTGTGAACACAAAGAGTTGAGTTTTTACTTCTGAGTCTGAGATTGTGTGCTACTGTTTCCTTAAGTAACCATTTGAGGGGAATTCACAGCTGGTGTTTCCAAACACCTGCGTTCTGTTGGAAGCATGATTACATTTCTGAAATGTATTGTTGTTAATAAGTACCTCTCTGAGCAGTCTATTTGGAAATAACATGATATGATATTGTTTTTGCTATATTATTGGAGTATTGTGGGAGGGAGGGGCTCCCTCACGTAAACAGATATTTTATTAATTCAATTCCTCTTTTCTCTTTTCTGCCTCTCATTTCAGAACGGTTTGACCACCACTGTCCCTGGGTAGGCAACTGTGTGGGGAAAAGAAACTACAGATTTTTTTATATGTTTATTTTATCCCTGTCTTTTCTGACAGTCTTTATATTTGCTCTCGTCATCACCCACGTCATCCTCCGTAAGTATGCTGCCGAAATCAGGGTCTGTATGTAACGGCTGGCCTGGCTTTGGCTTTTCTGAGTTGATTTTGATCTATAATTTTTGATCATTTCTGGCTTTCTTTTCCTTCTCTTTCCCCATCCCGCTCCTCACTTCCAGCCTGCCCACTCCGGCTTTCACTTTGCCCATCCCTCCTCATCTCTCCCTCTCTCCTCAACCCCATCCCTCAAATGGCAGTTTCCAGGTGACCCCTGGACCACCCAGACTAACAGCACTTTCCCCTTGACGTGCATGCCCTCTCCAGCCTCAGTGATGTCTGCTGGGGATCCCCTGTAAGGCTCATCCCTTCATTTTGCACAAGGAAGTACAAGCACAATGGCAACCATTGAGTACTGAGTCTATTTTCCTTATCTACTGACCCATGGTTTGAACATATACATCCCCAGGAGAAGAATATGGCTGGGGACAGATACTGGGTTTTCTCACGCATTCAATGAGATACTCAATTCTCTGCAAGAATTTGAACAAACAACCTCTGACATATAAAGTGAGATTTGAGTGTAAATGATTTTAACATAGTTGCATAAGAAACTAGCATTTTTTTTCCCATCACCATTCTGAAGTTCATACTGCGTTTCTTTTGTCTCTTAGTCACTCACTTTCCCACAATGGGAAATGATGAGAAAGGAGCTAATTGGCTTTGAACCACAAACCTAAGCCTTTAAACTTCCATTAGCGTGTCACTGCCCACACGAGCGAGGGGCTCTGCCTTTCACCCGTTCCTGGAGCATATGCGCCCATTAGCAAGCACACAGCCTCGCTCTGGTGTGTCTCTGGAAGTTTCTAAGCAGAAAAAGCTTTACTTTCTTCTCATGCCAGCATGGATCTCATGAATGGAGCAGAATTAGGCCCCTTTCCCACTTGTACTGTCCGGGTGGCTTCGTCCCTGTCCAGACCGGGGAAGAAGGGTAGAGAATGGCTCCTATTGGTCGCTGCTCCCATTGGTCTCTACTGGTCCTTGCTCCCATTGGTTTCCATAAGCGTCAGTCAAGGGTGGCTGCTCCATCAACTACCCGAAGGCTGACAGTGCTCTAAACTGCTTGAGCGACGTCTTGAGCGACGATTCTTTTGTCCCAGTACGCACAAATCTGGAATACACGCCTGAGAGTCTTGAGTTAGTGTGTTCATGAGAAACAACTAATCTCCATCGGCGTCCTCTTCCTTGCCAGCTGGCGCTGGTGCCAAGGTGGCTTTGCAGAGACCCTTTTCCTCGGGGTTTTCTGAATCCCAAAATGACAGAAGTGGAGCTAGGAGCCAGTCTGTGGATTCACGCACGAGAGCAGTGAAGAGAAAGCAGAGAGTGTTAGGCGCTGTTCTGAAGGAAGCAGTCATTCACACGGACAGGGAGAGCCCGCATGTGACGCTCAGAAGTAGTGGTTTAGCCTTATATATTTTTTTAAATTTATAAACTTTCTTATAAAAAAGAACCCTTGCAAATAATTTTTTAAAAATCATACATTCAAATTTAGCCAGACCCTGTCTGTACAGCACAGCGAATTTCTTCATGGTTCGAATCGGCATGGCATAAAATCTACCATCCTTCCGGAAATTTCTAAATGTTTTCATTTCACACCATCAGATTATATTCCTAGTTTCAGCCCTGCATCCTAGAGCTTTAGGGTTCACTTTCACTTGCTCAGTTGTGCATATAAATGCCAGGAAAACATGTGCACACAGCACAGTTCATCACACTGTCCCTCACACTCGGAGACCCCCCCCACACACACACACTGAAGTCTGCTGCCTTCCCAGGCTTAGAACAGTGCTCATCCCAATTCATCAGTGTACAAGTTTCATTTACCCTGGTTCCTACACGGTGGGGTCTATTTTAGTCTCCTTTTGTTCTGAGGTTGCCTTTGCTAGTGGCCTGCACCTTGCCATTCACCGGCTGCACCCTGCTGGATGTGAAGGGAGGCAAGAAGCTTTAAACACCTGTCTTCCCATATTAGTAATCAATGCAGTCCCTCTTGAGCCGCCCTAGCCATCCTTGTGTCTTCACAGTGGGCAGTAGGACCACAGGGAGGGAGTTCCAGGAGGAGAAATATGAAGCAGAGCAAAGATCCCTCCTTACCTTCGCACAGCGGGGCATAGGTTGACAGTCACACAGAAAGACCTAGGACACTGCCCCTCACTCACCCCAGCCCACAGCCAGTTAATCGGCACCAAGAAGCAACCGGCGCCATACTAGCTTAACAGTTCACGTTCTGTGGCACGGGCTTGTGTCACTTGAAGCACAGTGGCTTCAGTCAGAAGGGCCCAGAATCATCCCCCAAGATAGCATTGCCAAGACTTACGCCTCAGAGGTCGGGCTAAAGAGATTGTTCAGTGATTAAGGGCGCTTGTTGTGCTTCTAAAGGACTCCAATTGGTTCCTAGCACCCACACTGAGCAACAGTATGTAACTCTAGCTCCAAAGAACCCAACTCCCTCTTCTAACCTCCACAGGCATCCACACATGTATCATAGACACATACACACACACACACACACACACACGAATAAAAATAAATCTTTAGCATTTGTTTAATGTGATGGCAATATATAAAACAGAATCCCTGTCCTCATCAGATGAAGCTGAACTCAAACCCCTCAGTGTTTTCTTGCAGGACATGATCACAGGGCAGGGAAACACCTTCACCCCAAAGAGTCAGTGAATGAACCTTAGCTTCGTTTACTCTGTGTACAAGAAGGAAAACTGTGGGTAGCCAAGTCCCTAAGACCTCTACTGCCAAATGTTAACAGCTGTGGGCAAAACAGAAGGGATTATGTAGGATTCTGTTTTCCTGTTAAAATGAGGAAAACAAAAGAGTAATCAAAGCTATAATTTATGGAAAAATATACAGACACACATCTGCTTTCATTGAAAAAAAATGCCCTGCAGATGTTGGTTCTAATTATGAATCTGCCATCTTCTTGAATGGCTTCAGTGAAATCACGATCTCCCAATCGATAAGTTGGGTGTCCTAACACCAAAGATGACTGTTTAATTGATGTCTGGACACCTATTATTGTTATAGAGATGAGAACATTGAGCACAGGCAGCATGAGTGTCTGGATACTAAATGTTGGCTTCATTCCCGCAGGTTCACAGCAAACAGGGTTCCTCAATGCCCTGAAGGACAGCCCAGCGAGATATCCTTTCTGGTGGCTCTGTGGGGACCTTGCTTGTGAATTCAGTACTTCACCAACCCCTACACTTTTACCTCTTCAGCACTCTGGCTTTGGCTTTTCTTCTCATAAATCTCATTCTTATTCATTCTCTAAGGCCTCGGGAGCCTCACAGAATATTCACTTGTATGATAAATGGCATCTGAACATCGCGTCTCTGGGCACTCATGCAGCCCTATCTAAACTGAAGAACTCTTTAGCTAGAAAGCTATCAACAGAGTCTTGTCGGCCGCTCCCTGCCCTGGAAGCTAGCCGTGATTGATGCTCCATCAGGTGAGGCTGAGGAGAAGCAGCACTGTGAGTTCGCCTAAGTTCACTGTGATTGGCAGGTGCTGCTCACCAGGGGTGGGTCTGTTTGGAGTGTGAGGCAGCAGCTGAGGCTCCTGGGCCACTTGAGAGACTTGCTGGGGTACCTTGCAGCACTCTCCCGCAAGTGCAGTGACCTACACTGTCTCTAGACATAGAACTCTCTTCCACAAACCTGAAAGGTCAGACTCAAGTCATTTAGACCAGCAGGGACCATTTTCCACCCTATACACACTCCCAAGCAGTGTGTATATCTGGGCACCATGGTATTTTGAATCTTCAAAGAAAAAGTGTCTGCCCATTAAATGCTGAATAGGCTTCTGCTGGTTCGCTGTGGAATCAAAATGGACCTGGTGACCCAGCTCCTCAGGACTCAGCTCTTTCCCCTTCACGTAACTGGGTAAATTGCATTTGAACTCTTCGTTTTTCTCTTGAGTGATTTTTCAGAGGTGGTAGAGGACACTACCACATATGTAAACATATGCTTCCTAAAGTAAAGGCACCCGTGCCACTGAGCCCTGGGCTGTGGACAAATGCGGTAGTGGGGATATTTAGATAGATCTGTAAACTGTGTGTGTGTGTGCGTGTGTGTGTGTGTGCACGCACATGTGCATGTCTACGTGTGTGTGTGCGTGTGTATGTGTGTGTGCGTGCGTGCATGTGCGTGTGTACGTGTGTGTGTGTGTGTGTGTGTGTGTGTGTATGAGGCTGGTTACCAGGGCATCTTCAGTCGCCAGCTGATAACTCATTAATGAGTTCTGTATGGTTAAAGGAGAGTGGAGACATACAGATTATGAGCTAAAGGGGAGGGGGTGGAGACTAAATTCCACATGTCCTATCTCCAATTAGTGATCCGGAAAAATGGAGTTAGGAAGAAGAAAGGATGGTTCATGGAATCCGGTGCTCACCTGAGCTACTAAGAACAAGTTCAAGGAGAAATGGCATCCTTTGTTCTACTCCCCAACCAGGGTAACCGGATCCCCTACAGCCATTGCCTCTATGACCGCCAGCTTGGGTGAATCTTAAGTGAAGCTTGCCTGTGTGTTTCACAGCATCAGCCCTGCCTTATGGCAATGGTCCTCACTCTTCCTAATGCTGTGACCCTTTAATACAGTTCCTCATGCTGTGGTGGCCCTCAACCATAAAATTATTTCCTTGCTACTTCATAACTGTAATTTTGCTACTATTATGAATCACAATGTAAATATCTGAGATGAAGGACATCTGATGTGCGACCCCCAAAGGGGTCATGACCCACAAGTTGAGAACTGCTGTCTCACAAACCCCAGCCCTAAGTCTGGACACCAGCACATAGCGGGTGAGTCTGACCTGTAATACTGCCTGCTTGCAGAGCTTTGACTGATGGCAGCGCTGCCTGTAGTTCCCCCTTTCTAGATCTGCAGGCTTCAGAACAGGGCTCTGGTACAAAATGCTTGGCCAAACAGCTCAGGCTTGTTACTAGTTAGCTCTTACTTCTAAATTAACCCATTTCTACTCATCTACGTTTTGCCACATTTCTCCTGGCTTTACTTGTGCCCTAATACACCTTGCTCCTCCAGCAGCTGGCTGGCCTCTCCCCTGACTCTGCCCTTCTATTTCCCTGTACCTGTATTCAGTTTGGCTTTCCTGCCTAGCTATATTCTTCCTTGCTATAGGTCCAAACAGATTTTATTATCAACCAATGAGAGTAACATATATTCACAGTGTACAGAAGGATTATCCCACAGCAATTCAGAAGGGCCTGGTCTGAGGTGACAAGCCAACACACGACACATGCCTACTGCTCTCTTCCTCTGTGAACATCTGCAGATCTGGGTGCTTAAAGTCATAGACTGTGCTCTGGTGGGAAGAAGCATCGCAGTGGGATTCATGGCCTGAGGACGGGTGAGAACAAGGAGGGGAAACAGTGGTGATTCTGAGGTCGTGTTTTTACATTCCCCATCTCTGTGACAAAGTAGCTCCTCGTGGTGATGTTCACTGAGGCAGGAGTTTGTGGTCGAGTCTCACCTTGGCAGAACAGGAAACAAAAGCAGGACCAGAAGTAGAGCCCTGTCCCTCAAGCCTGTCCCCAGTGGCCTAAGCCTGTCTGTCATGTAAGCCTCAGGTTCCCCAAGTTCTCAAACCTCCCCAAAGAGTGTCACCAACTGGAAACCAAGCTGTAAGGGACATTTCACATTCAAAGCACAGTAGAAGATTGTGCCAGGGTGCTGTGGACACAGAGGGTTGCAGTAGACAAGGGAGATACTAACATTGGGTAGATTGAAGAGAAGTGGTGAGTTCTGGGTTGTTTATAAAGAGAATCTCAGATATCAGTTTCTCCCCGCCCCTCTCTCTCTCTTTACACACACACACACACACACACACACACACACACACACACACGTCTTTGTCACCCCACTGTAACTTCAGGGTCCTCTTTTGTCACCTGCGGGTCCAACAGAAGGAGGGAAACCTGTGGAAACTCACAGAAAACACTACTGGTCAGGCCTGCCAGGGAACCATGTGGTAACACTCCTCCCAGACTCCCATTGTGCGCAAAGGCAGAAACCCTCAGGAACATGTGCAGGGAGACCAGAATGCCCTGGAATCCTTGAGGAAGCCCCCACAGAGGGGACGCCGTCATCCACAATCACGTCAATGTAACATGGCATTAATGTTCCATTAAAGGGATTACAGTCATTTTTAATCATGGCTTATTATTCAGTGCTCCCAAAATGAAAAGGATTTCCTGTGGTTGGTAAATCAAATGGCAATTGATTCGGCTTTCCCCTAGAAAGCCTCTTTATCTCCAATTTGCATTCATTGCGATGCTTACCCACCTGAGAGGCACCCACAGATTAATGGGCATTTTTCTATTTTAATAGAATTTACTAGAAGTTTGGCAGAAAGGAGGACAGACACCATGTGGCAGAGTAGGAAAATACTGAAGGCAACATAGGCTTTTGATAGCCCATCCATGCTGATAGAAACTGATGTCTAAAGACCACAAGAAAATAGAGTCAGACATCCTTAGTGCTGTCCATAGCTGCCCCTGTGACAGGAAGTCCAGTGGCATCCCTGGTGGCACCTAAGCAAGAACCACACCAGCCCTGCTCCACACAGAAAAAGAGACCAATGTCTCCCCACCATCCCCACCCAGCCAATGGAGCAAAGGAGGCCTGAAGCTTAAGACCCCAGTTACGTTGCATAACATCACAATGTTGGGGGTGAGTTGATTAATGTCAAAGTTCTAATAATTCCAAAAGAAATGTGACAGGAAGAAAGTGCGGGTTTCCCTGGCCCTCCCTTGTCAAGTATGGGACTCCTTGTCAGTTTCCGTATGTCCTTCCAGAAAGTCTTCATGAGGTTGGAATACACACTTGTGTGTGGCTAAGGGGTTGCTCGCGTCTTACAAGGACACTGCTCTTTGAGTTGTTCTAAAACTTGATTTTGCTTCAAAATATTACCTGGAGGTAAATCTCCCTCATTCTCTTATAACGACTTTCTAACCCCAGAGTCTGTGTAGCCAGATGTTCTTTGGTGAGCATGTACAGTTCTTCCTTCATCTTCTGTTCCAGAGGTGAGGTTGTAGAGCCCAGTGCAGGGGCACATACCCATAATCCCAACAGTAGGGAAGTTGAGGTTAAGGATGCTCGACGACCATGACAGGCTGCGTTCAGAGGAGGGAGGAGAGTAGAACTGGTGTCCAGTGGGGAAATTGACAGTAAGATGGTTTTTACCTAAAAGGTCCCCAAAGGTATGTTGGGAATGCCTCAGAATCAAGCATTTGTTCCCCTACTACTAACTTTGAATTTGCCCCATCCTTGTGCTGTGAGCCGTGTGGGACACGTCCCATCCCATTGCAGTCCCTTGCTCTGATGACTAGAAATGCCTCCCCACACCCTCAGCCCATGGTGGTTTCCCATTGTTCCTGTGCACCTTGTCACCTAAATGACCTTTAGAGCCCATCTGTCAGAGTCTGTCTCCTCAAGGCTCTAGTTGGAAGTTTGGTTGAGCTCCTGGTCACTTCCGCTGTGAATCTGGAACCTCCACATGCAGGCGAGAAAGGTTTGAGATCAGGGCTGTGGTCAGATGAACCTGTGACAGAGATCTGGCACTTCCCCTTCCTACAGGGTCAGTCCTTCATGCAAACTGCCACAGTCACGGGTGGGTGGCCAGGTGACAGCACAGCTGTGCTTTTCTGCCTCTAGGTAGAGTCATCCACCTGATGGATGATGAAGGAGCCATTCCTGCCAGGTGCACCTTCTTCAGGATAGTCTGCCAGGCAGATACAGCCACGGACCACCTCCATGGTCTCTTATGTCTGAAATGGTAGACACCCCTGCACAGTCTCTCTAATGAAAACTATGAGGTTCATACTTGAAGCTCCACCAAGAGGTGTCCCAGGACCTTGGAAATGACAGAAAGGACAGAGCCCATGCAGAGCCCCTAAATGTGATCCCTTCCTGGCCGTTCAGAAAACCTGGTTAGTAAAGAAACTCAACAGGACACATTCACACTCAACCACAGAATAACAGCCAGGTCCAGTTCAGTCTCACCGTTGTGAGCATGGAGCCTGCAAACCTTGTGCTACCACCTCTGCTTGGGGTCTTAGAAAGGAATATGTGTTTCCCAGAAGTCCACGGACGCGGCTCGATTCCGTTCCGGTGTGGCTTGTTATGTGAGCCCTTAAAAGCAACTTGGTCTCTGGGCTTCAGCTTCCTGCCTGGAATAAAGGGATTAGAAAAAGCCAGGGCAGCTTGACTCAGGGATGACTCCAGGCTTCTGTGTCTCCATGGTGCAGAGCACTTGGGGGAGTTTTCTTTTAAATTACTGAGATTATAAGGAAAATTGTTTTTCTGGGCCTCTTTGTGAGCAAAGATCAGATGCTGAAGTCAGTGCTCGATGGTCTCCCACTGTTTGTGATTATCCCCAGCCTGAAGCATCCTTAGCTGCTTTGCCTGGCTCTCACCCAAGTTTCTGTGTTACTTCTCCCCTAATTCACCTCTCCCCTTTCCCTTCCCTCCCCCCTCACGCCTCCTCCTCCTCCTCTGCAAGCAGAGCCCGGTCCCTGGAACATGGAGCTGGTGCCCTGCCCAGCCTACTCTCTGAGTTCATGGGGAGGGCTCTGCAGGGCGTCTATAGGCCAGCACTTTGAACATCACACTTAGTGCAGACTCTTAGAGTTTGAGGGAATCCACAGCTAGCCTCTGACCAAATAGGAGCTACCTGTTTTATTGGCCACTGGGTTAGATGGACCGAGACTGGCAGTGGAAATGATTCTCACCCAAAGCCATCCCTGATTCAGCCAGCAAACATCCAACTTCTTATTAAATTGATTCTCAGTGGAATTTGTTTCTTCTTATTTTTATTTTTTAAAAATGAGTCAAGACGTTTTGCAACTTGAAGAGAATAGCACTTCCTGATCTCGTTACTGGACATATATTTTGAATGTCAAGCTGCTGGATTAGTGAGATACGTTATTGGAATGCCTGTACCTGAACCTGAGCCCAGGCGTGAGAAGTTTGCCTTTGGTTTCCACAGATGCCCGGGCTCTTACAAACAGGGTCCCTATCTCCCCAAACTGGAAGGACCACTGACCTTCAGTGAGAATTGGGAAAAGAACCAGCTGAAGATTCATGTACTGACCGGGCAGACTTCCAGCATTCAACTCTCAGGTCTCATTGTTCTTAGGGTCTCATGTAGCCCAGGCTGGCCTCCCACCCTGTAGCCAAGGATTACCTTGAACTTCTGATCCTCCTGCATCCACCTCTGGATGTACAGCACTATTGTAGGCGGGTACCATCATACCTGGTTTTCAGCAATGCCGAAGATTGAACGAAGGGCGTTGTGCAGGCTAGGCAAGCACTCTACCTCCTGAGCTACTCCCCCAGCTCGGCTCTGTTTCTCTAGCAAATTACTTCCTTGCTTCCAGCCTTGGTATCCTCATTTGTTAAATGGATGTGGTATTTGTCAATGAACTAGACTCAGGACTGAATGAGTCAGTTCCTGTCTCCAGTGATCCAGCCATTGTTACACAAAAGCTTGCCTCTACCTCAAGATACATAGTCTTAGGCAGCATTATCAGCTGCGTGGGACAGCCAAAGTACCTCGCTTTGTCCCTTGGCAACATGTCATTTTGTGACAGCTAAAAGCTCACAGAAGCACTGTGTTCTATTAACCAGAGATGGCTTCTGAAGCATGGAACAGAGTCATATAAAAGTTACATTTTTCTAGGCTGGGGAGATGGCTCCATTGGCAAAATGCTCGCCATGGTAGCTTGAGAACCTGAGTTCAATTCCAGAATCCATGCATAGAAGCTGGCACAGTAGAGTGTACTTGTAATCCTGGTACTGTGGAGGTAGAGACAGGCAGATTCCTAAGGCCCAATGAGCACCCAGCCTAGACTGCTTAGCAAGCTTCAGGCCTTTGAGAGACCCTCACTCAAAAGAAACACATGCATACACAGAGAGAAACACAGAGAAATACACGTGCAAACACACAAAGAGAGCAACTATACACACACGGAAACAGACACACAGGAACACACATAAGCACACAGTACCACCATTTTTGTCTTTTCTGAAAACGCCTTCAATTCCTCGCCCATTGATCACACTGCCTCCTAATGGAAGCAGTTAGTAATGCAGGTCACACCGCAAATGGGGTTGCCAGGCATCCACAGCCCATTCACCTGCTTCAACTCTGCCCTACTTTCACTTGGCAGTTTTTGTGGTTCATGTTTGAGCCTTCCTTCTGTGTTGATTCCCCCATCGTTCCGTCTGGGCTGTAAACGGCTGGTGATGCTCGGGTGTCTCTGAGATTGATGTTGGGTTCCCATCTTTATTCTCTTTTCTCTCCCAGACCACATCTTTCCCCAGCGACTGTGTCACTTCATCTCAAAGCCTCTGATCTTGTCCCTTCGCTGCACAGAGTTCTAGCTAGTGCCACTGCCTCTGGCTCAGGCTCCTTCCCTTGACTTAGTCTCCCCTCTGGTCCCTTCATCTTGCCCTCCTGGACTCCACTTCTGCTTTGTAGCCAGTGTGGGACATGAAGTTTTTCTGAGTCATCTCCCAGCCCTGATAGGTAGGAAAAGAAATGACATATAGGTGCCCTGGCCACTGGGATACATGAGCCATTGTTACACACACACACACAAAGCTCCACCACAGCCGTTTCCTGGAGGAAGCAGAGGGCTTTCTGTGGCCCTGGCTAGGGCTTCCTTCCTTCTGTTTCTCTTGTCCTTTAGACCCTCCCCCCAACACCTGCTTCTCTAAAAGTGGATGTTGTGACTTCCTATGTTAGTGACTGTCTGTTCTCCTTTTCCCATTTGATGTGAGACTCATGTCCCAAGCAACAGCATCCATCACCACACAAAGGCACCGGGTGATGTATTCAGCTCTGTCCTCAGAGGTGAATTATTTTCAACCTGGAGACATCAGTGGTGACACAGCACAGCCTGATCTCTGTCCCTCCATCCTTGGTTGCATAAGGAAAGCACAAGGTTTCTTTACTTCCCCAGTCTGTAATTCATTGCTAGGAGGAAGCAAGATGTATATTTAAACCCCAGATCTGCCCCAGGATGAATTGGTTTTTCCTGAGAAACATCTGTATCTTGTAAATAGACTCTTCTAAACATTTGTGGGATGGGAACATTCTCTCATCCTTACAAATTACTGCATTCTTGGTTGATCAATGCCATCTGGTGAGGAAGGCCATACTGTTCCTTGCTTGGAGGTGACACATCACGTTGAATGCCAGGCTTTCTCGCACTGTCCTCTCCAAGCCCCGTAGCACAGTGTCCTATGCCAGGGATTAGCTGTGGAGCTGGGCAGGGGTCTCTAAGAAGGAGGGCCCCGGCCCAATTCCACACTTAAGAATCACCCTCCAGTACATAGTAATTAGTACTTCTTACCTGCTTCATAAGTGGCGTGAGACCAGACAGCCCACAGAAGCAGGAGCTTCTCACTCTCAGAAGCCATCCTGTGTGTTGGGGGCCGGGTGAGGTGCTTACTGGGGAGACAGTCCTCGGCATTTAGAAGCTAAAACCAGAGGGACATTTAATATTTAGTCCTTTCACTGAAGGTCTGATCCACTGTTAGCTTCCATCCATCCTAGGTTGCAAGTCAGAGATGGTGAAGGTCAAAGGGGAAATTGCCCACTCTGAGAGGTGAGTGATGCCCAGAGAGGGCAGCAGCCATTCCAGAGCTGTGGCTGCCCCTCTGCACTGCGGGAGGAGGTGGCAGAAGGTCTGAGGATGGCCACTGGCCTGAAGGAGGGAGGCTTCTGGTTAGAGACTGGGAAAGGACAGGAGACTAGGACTGAGCCCAGAACCCACCTGTGGGGTATCAGCCCCTCGCCTCCTGCCACCCTGCCTGTCTGGGAGCCACGTGAATCCCGTTCTCCTTCTGTTGGTGTCCTTGACTCGCCCACCGTGCTGGAGGCCGTGGTGTGCTTCTTCTCCGTCTGGTCCATCGTTGGCCTCTCGGGCTTCCACACATACTTGATCAGCTCCAACCAGACAACCAATGAAGACGTAAGTTCCCGACCATAGCACGTGGGTATCTGCATGGTTAGCCTCGGAGGAGGGAGGGGAAATGAGAGATCAGGGTCACCTTTTTCCCCTACGTCCCATCCAGCTGTGAGCACCTTGGGGGCAGAGGAGAACGTGGAGGCCCTATCAGGGTCCTACATGAATGTGTGGGGCATCTCCGCATCCTCCTACATTTACCATGACATCAGTCCTGGCCTTAGACAAGCCAAGTGACAACCAGTTCTGACCTGGAGAAGCCTCTTCAAATCCTCTTCAATCATTTTGGAGGCAGCTTGTCACGCTTTCCCAACCAAAGACAGACCATGGCAGGCTGGCATCTTGGAGTCCATTGGCTTCTGGAGGAAATTGTCCTGACCCAACGTTGAACTTTGAGTCCTGGAGCATCTGCTGATGCATAATGCAGGTGGGGGAGGGGGGACAGGAAACATGTTGGGAACCCCTCCTCACAAGTATCGTTCACACCTGCTCTTCACACCGAGATTTCGTCTGTCTATGCATGTTAAATGTTTCCGAGCAGATCCAATTTCCTTAAACGAAAGCTGAGGAAAATAAATGATAAATAAATGAGATAAGGAACTGCTAAAACAGCGCATTCGACTTGGTAACTATGACTCCTGGAATCTGCAAGACAGACAGTTTTAACAAGAGGCTGCATTCTCAATCTCAAGTGGCAGTTAAGGAACCGGAGTTAATTTGTTTCAGTTAGCATTCACTTAATTACAATTTAGGGATAGGAAGGCCGGGCTCAATGGATAAGAGCATTTGCTCTGCAATCACCGGGGCCTGAATCCAATACCCCAGTCCCCACACAGCCACACACCCCTGTAAATCCAGCACTGGGGCAGGGGTGGGGGGGAGATACAGAGACAAGCAGTACCTGTGAGCTCACAGGCCAGCCCACCTAGCTTGATGGGGAACTTCAGCCAATCACATTCTGCTTAGGGTGTGTCCCCCTGGGGCCACACAAAACAAATAAAAGATCCGAAGTGCACTTGCCACTCACTCTCTTTGCCCCTGCGTTCTCGAACCGTTGGGACTCTGGTGTAAGTTTTCCTTCCTTCTTTTTATTAAAGCTGTATCTTTTATATTCAACTAGTCTGGTTAATTTTTAACTACCGATCAACCTTGCCCCTTCACTAGCTGAAGCCACAGGTTTCAGATTCAGTCACAGCCTCTGTCGAAGGCAACAGCATCTCTGGAGAGCATTAGGGAAACACGCCAGGCATCTCGTTCTGGCTTCTGTATGTCATAGCACATACAACACACACCTACATCACACAACACGCAATAAACAAATAAATAAGACAGGGAGCAAGATATGAATATGAAAGCCAGAGTCTCCACTGGTTCCTATTAGAACTTTCAGTAACGCAGTATAATCTTAAACAAACATTTTTTTGCCCCAAAGATTGTTGCTTTCTCCCTAACCTAAGCTACTGTCTGAGGATATTTCTAAGTTTTCTATAAATGCTTGTTTTCCGCAGAAAAAGAATGCCTCCGTTTCTCCCAGTAAAGACTGTTTGTAGTGCTAGCGATGGCACCGGCGTCTGGCATGTGCTGGGCAGATGTTCCCCCACTGAGCTATAGCCCAGACCTTATTTGCATATTTCAAAATCATCTCTGGGTCCAGTTTGCCAAATCCTTGGCGTCGGCACTCTAGACATTGTGTTGCTGATGCTCCTTCTCTTTCAGATCAAAGGCTCTTGGTCCAATAAAAGAGGTAAAGAAAACTACAACCCCTACAGCTATGGGAACATCTTCACAAACTGCTGTGTCGCCCTGTGCGGACCCATCTCCCCCAGGTAAGAGTCGGAGAGCAGTGCAGTCGGTGCAGGTCTCAGGAAAGCTGCCTGGCCCCACCTGCCGGAGCTGGCCACACCCACGGATGACCCCCAGTTCTACTCTCTTCCGTGTGCCGCTTAGACACACCCAGTGACACAGAAGCCTGGCTTCGTTTGGTCATACTTCACTTCTTTCTGGTCTTGAACTGATTTGTGTCCGATTGGGAAGAAATTTTCTATATTTCAGACTAGAAAACCAGAAACATGTGACCTTGCTCATTACTGACTGACACTGAGCTTCTGGAATGACCTGGGACCTGTGATTAGCATAATTAGGGAGCCAGAGATGTGTGTAGGAAGCAACTAGAAGTCCTATAGGGATAAATGCTAGAAACCATATAGGGATAAGGGCTAAAACTGAGGGGCAGGCATGGTGCTCACCTAGTCCTAAGGAAGAGCTTGAAATAAAAGAGTAGATGATGTTGTGGGGTGACATGTGTATGTGTATGTGTGTGCATGTGCACACATTTGCCTCCTACATGCTTGTATGTATCAGCGTTTGAAATGTGCATCCCATGCCTATGAAGTGGATACCATTGTCTTCTGTTTTATCATAAATAAACTGAGGCACAGAATCTAAACAACATTGCCCAAGACTGCACAGCCAGCAAATACTGGCTAATCAGATCATCTGACCTTTGAACCAGTGTGTGCATTCACAGGTCAGAATTGTACAAGTTCAAAGTACAGCCAGCATTTGATTGTTTGTGGGTGACACAAGAGTAAAACACTTCTTCAGAAGCCAAACTTTCATCTACTGAAGCACGATTAATAAAAACTCGGAGCGAGAAATTGGGGTTTAGCCTGCAGGTCAGAAAAGTGAAACAACCAGCCACTGGCTCTTACCTCTACCTCAGTCCAAAATGGCGATCCTACCTCCAGGAATCTCACAATGAGACTGTGTGAGAGCTGTCTCCTCCCACTTTATATTCCTTTCTAGGTCTGGAATTAAAGGCGTGCACCACCCGGTTTCTGTGATAAACCAGTGTGGCTGCTGGGATGAAAGGTGTGTGTTAGCACCGCCTGGTCTATAAGGCTGACCAGTGGGGCTGTTTTACTCTCTGATCTTCAGGCAAGTTTTATTTATTAAAACAAATGAAATGCCACTACAGTCTACAAATATTCATGGCAAGTGTCTGACTGAGCTTCTAATTGAGTCGTGCTTCCTCCATCTGGTTTCAAAAAGTGTAAACAAAAAGAAACCACCAAGGTGGCTGGACAGCCTCCAAGGCATTTCCCCTTGTATGTGTAGCTCTCACAGGCTTGAGCTTGTGAGATGTACTCTACTTGTTACTGCCAGTCTCAGCAAACCCTCACTAGAGAGGAAGAGTAACTGGGGGGAGGGGCAGACAGCCCTGACTGACAGTCAGGCTGCTGTGTTCACAGCATGGTGGGACCACTGGATGACTAGAAATGGATCCCCCCAGCTTTGTCCCAGAACGCTAGGAGTACAGTAAGTCTCTCTCCTCCTGAATTAGGAGACTCTAGGGAACCCCATCTACTCTTCTTTGTTTTATTTTAGTTTGTTTTTCAAGACAGTGTTTCTTTGTGCAACAGGCCTGGCTGTCCTGAAACTTGCTTTGTAGCCCAGGCTGGCCTCAAACTCAGAGATCTATGCGTCTCTGCCTCCCCAGTGCTGGGATTAAAGATATCCACCACCACTGCCCGGCACCCCATTTACTCTTTGGAGACTTCTCTTAGGGAGTGAACAGACAACGCAGACAAAGCCCAGGATTACCTGGAGATGAGGGTCAGGCTTTTCTTGTAGGCACCAGCCCCTCAGGAAGAGCTCCAGATCCCCCAGACTGCCTTCTCGGGGTCCTTTGGTCAGGAAATACCTTGGCGAGCCATGAATCACTCACCATCTTAGACTGTCTTTCTGTGAGTGTGGTGTTGAATCCTAGCCATGGAGAGGGCTTGGAGGAGGGTAAGAGCAAAGACCCAAACTGTGGTTCCCTTAGCCAGAATCCATGCTGGAGTCCAGAAAAGGTGCTGAAACTCCCTGCATCCCATCCACATCTTGTTCTAATCCTGGTCCTGGATATGCGCGTGGCCCTGTGCATATAGTCACAGATCAAAACTTGGCATGACCAAAATGGCCTCCCTCACAACTAGATTGATTTGGTGTTTGTACTGGCTGGTTTTATGTTGACTTAACACAAGCTAGAATGATTAGAGAGGAAGGGACCTCAAATTCCTCCATGAGGTCTGGCTGTAGGCAAACCTGCAGGACATTTTCTTTCTTTTTTTTTAAATATTTATTTATTATGTATACAATATTCTGTCAGTGTGTATGCCTGAAGACCAGAAGAGGGCACCAGACCTCATTACAGATGGTTGTGAGCCACCATGTGGTTGCTGGGAATTGAACTCAGGACCTTTGGAAGAACAGGCAATGCTCTTATCCGCTGAGCCATCTCATTTTCTTAATTAGTGGTTGATGCGGGAGGGTTCAGACCATTGTGGGTGGTGTCAACCCTGGCCAAATGGTCCTGGGTTCTCTAAAAAAGCAGACTGAGCAAGCCATGGAGAGCAAGGCAGTAAGCAGCACCCCTCCATGATCTCTGCAGCAGCTCCTGCCTCCGGGTTCCTGCCCTGCTTGAGTTCCTGTCCTGACTTCTTTTGACGATGAACGGTGATATGGAAGTGTGAACCAAACCCTTCCCTCCACAAGCTGCTTTGGTCATGGTGTTTGGTCACAGCAATAGCAGCCCTAAGACAACTGGGTACGGGGGCGGGGCGGTCTATTGCTGTTGTCTAACCTGGCCATGTTGTTTGGGGGAAGATTGTGAAAGGGCTTTGGAATTTTATGCAAGAGAAGCCATTGAGTTCAATGCTTGATGAGTTCTTCTGTAGGAGCCTGGAAGTTAAGAATGTTGAGGGTAATGTAGACAATAGAGGCCGGGCTTGTGAAGTTTCAGAAGGAAGTTAAAGACTCTTTCAGGGCCATGCATTATTTTTAATTAAGGTCCTGTGGTTCTGGGTAGCTGGGGCTGAGGAGTCAGCTGTGATGAGCAAGATCCCAGAACTGCTGAAGCGAACCCTTTGCTTTGCTGGGGTACTCAATGCTGGTCAGTTGGAGAGGAGAAATTAGTAGTGATTAAGAAGAGACCAGCGTCACTGAGGTGAAACCTTCTTGGAAGTGTTTCAACGCACAAAAGCTGTGCTCCAGAGATGGCCAAGGTTGTACCTTGCAGTGGCAGCCTTGGTATCTCAGAGCCACCCAGGCCACGCTGATTTTGAAGGCATGAAAGGGGTCATGGAGAGCAGCTGGGGCTTGGCACCGTGAGAGGCCAGGAGAGACCACTGGTAAAGGTGCAACCTTAGTAGCAGTAGAAGGCCCAGGATTGAAAGGGTCTTGCAGAGAAGTTGAAGCTTGGCACCATAAGAAGAGCCTATGATAAGCTGTTGGTGAACATGCAGCCCAGTTGCAGCAGAGAACCCAGCATTTTGAAGATGCCAGTACCACAGGAGAACCAAGAACAGCAACAGTGATGGAGTGGAGCCAACCAGAGCCTAGAAGACAAGCTGTGTGCTACAGAGGGCAGAGCCGGAGAAGTGGCCCAAGCCCCTTGGAGGAGGCCAGACGATCATGAGTGAATCTGACATTGGACATTGAATTATTTATACTGTTGGAGTTTGGCTTTGCTTTGTTCAGATTGTGACTTGCCCTGGGTCTTCCCTCTTGAAGTGAGAAAGTATTTAATTTTGATTTTTACAGGAGCCCACAGCTGAAAGATTTTGAACTTTCAAAAGAGATTTTAAATTTTTAAGGAGATTAGATAGTTTAAAGACTGAAATTTTAATGTGTTTGAATTTGTAAGGAATGTGAAATGTTTTAAAGTTATATCTTATATCGTGACATTAATATTAACGTGCCATCTTGGGGAGTTTGTGTAGGATGAGTATGTAGGCCTGGTCAGCCTTACAGACCAGGCAGTGGTAACACACACCTTTAATCCCAGTAGCCACAATAGTTGCCGTAGAAACTGGGCAGTGCATGCCTTTAATCCCAGTGGTGCATGCCTTTAATCCCAGCCCTAAAGAGAATTATAAAACATGAGGAGACAGCTCTCAGACACAGTCTCAGTCTGAGATTCCTGAAGACAAAATTGCCATTTAGGACTGAGATAGAGTTAAGAGCCAGTGGCTGGCTTTTGCTTTTCTGACCTTCAGGTTGTTCCCCAATTTCTCTTTCTGGGTTTTCACTAATGGTGCTCCACTTGGTTAGAGGTTAGCTTCAATTTCTGAGGTTGACATACTGAGCTGTGTTTCATTTTACTTGTGGGGACCAAGGATGCTGGGCTGGAGTGACCTCTACCCTTTTATACCCCACTCCATTGAATCAACTTGACAGAGTCTGAGGAGTCCATAGGGAAAGGCTGGGTGTGAATGGGCACCCCAGGGTTGGCCCCAGGCCAATGAAGGTGATGATGTTCATCTCTGCTCTTCCCTCCTGGCCTTTCTTGCCTTTTCTTTCCTCAGCTCTGTGTCCTCACGTAACAGGGCCTTTTCCGTCAGGACAGCCTGGTCAGCAGTGCCGTCCACCTCAGACGTAGCTTGAGTTGCCTTTCTCAAGAAGTGGGTAGTCTGTGAGGAAGGGGTAGTTAGTCTGTGATAAAGGGGTAGTTAGTCTATAATGAAGGGGTAGTTAGTCTATGATAAAGGGGTAGTCTATGATGAAGGGGTAGTTAGTCTGTGATAAAGGGGTAGTTAGTCTATGATGAAGGGGTAGTTAG